TCTGACTGGATGATCTGGTGAAACGGAAAGTGACCTGAGATGACATGATGTGAATTGGAGCTATAGAAATAAACTGAATAGAATTGAATAGAAATTAATTGAACCCATCAGTGTTTGTCCTTCATCAGGATATGTTATGGTACCGTGGAACCTGCTCCTGACCGGCTTACGTTCCACCCATCAAGGTTACCATGCTGACCAGTTGTGACTTTTGGTCTTTCCATCTCTGCAATCCAAGTGCAATAATCCAAGTCAGCTACTGTGTAGTCTTTCCTTAGCTCTGCACTCAGCAGATATTTTTATATCTTAAGGAAACAATCCAGGATATTATAACTTTTGTTGTGCTCTTTTGTACTATAACACTTTTTTTCTATTGTCTGTAGTATTTTTATCTTTAATGTCATCTTCCTTTAACTCGCTTTACTCTATAGAAGCTACTGGAACCATAATTTCCTTGAAGAAGTAATCTCAAAGCATTAATAAAGCTGAGTCTAAGTCTAAAAATGGTTGGAAAGGCTGCAAGGACTTGGAGGAGCTTAGTGAGGTTCCATTGAAGAAATAATGAAATATATGTCTGCTGGTTTCTGCGTTGGATGTTCTGTGTGTTTCTCAAGATGTTCTTTAAAGCTCGGTTGCAGTTCAGCTTGGTGCTGATGTCAAAGTGAGCTCTGAAAGACTGCTCGCTGAACAGGGTGGGACCGTCTGTGTGTAGTTCCCTCCATGGCCGCCAGGTGGAGACAACTTAGACTGAGCCAGAAGCTGCTGCTGCTACTGCTGAGTTACAGCTGCTGAACCAGAGTCCAGCTGGACCCAAAGCCCGGCTTTTCACCAGAACCAGTATGGCTACTTGTTTTGAGCTACCTAACCAGTTAGTTTGGACAGGATGTTCCTGAACCAGAACAACTTTATTTGCCGGGTTTTAACTCGGACTCTGGTTCCACTTTGCTGTGATTGAAGACATTTTGAAGCTTCATGTGCTGGAACTGTGAATTGAATACTTATTTTTTGTTTCTTTGTACCTTATATCAAACAAGTAACTTAATGTTGACAGTTTTAAATGTTCCACTTATAAAGCCGGATAAGCAAGACATTCATTAGGGCTCCCCTCCAGCCTCAGTGCTAAGCTAAAATAATCATCTCTGCTGAAAAAATTGATCAATTATCTCTTCTTCTTTTTATAAAACCTTTTTGCTGCTTTTTTTTTTACTACTTTCCTCTTTTGATGCATCTTTATATATTTGTTTCAAATTTTTATCCGTTATTTCTAAATACTGAATAATTTGATGTAAACCTTTTTTTTTTTTTTTATTGAAAACTTCAAAATTTACAGACAAACATGGCCGCATAGAGTTCGTTTCTTCAAGTCAGGTTACATAGAAAATATAGCCAGAGGGAACATCTCTTCACACAGATTGAAATATATCTATAACATAGACTTGC